CTCAAGCGAGTCTCCTGCCTCAGCCTCCCAAGTAGCTGGGACCACAGGCGCCTGCCACAACACCCGGCTATTTTTTGGTTGCAACCGTCATTGTTGTTTGGCAGGCCGAAGCTGGATTCGAACCCGCCACCTTAGGTATACACAGCTGGCACCTTAGCCACTTCAGCCACAGGCGCTGAGCCGGGCTTGTGGGGTATTGAGGGAACTCCTGAATAGTCTGTAAGGGCTGGTCTCGCCTTCTTTCTAAGGGGGACGCCCCAGGCTCTGAGCTTGAATAAATCCCTCGTGCCATTGCAGCGATGTTGGACTCTCAGAGTGGTGCTTGAATTGAGTCTGGGGGCTTACAGGATCTTCATGGACCCCTGACAGCTCTCATGAGTTCTTGGAAGCAGAGTTCTAGGGATGTTCATAAAGATGGTGTCCCCGCAGGGGGAGTGGAAGAGATACGCTATTAGAACTCACAACCTGGGCTCAGCACCAGTGGGTCAAGAGGCTAAGGTGCCAGCCACATACATCTGACCTGGTGGGTTTGAATCCAGCCTGGGCCTGCCAAACAACAATGATGGCTGCAACCAAAAAATAGCCGGGCATTGTGGTGGGCATCTGTAGTCCCAGCTACTTGGGAGGCGGAGGCAGGAGAATCACTTGAGCCTAGGAGTTGGAAGTTACTATGAGCTGTGATGTCACAGCACTCTACCCAGGGTGACAGCTTGAGGCTCTGTCTCAAAAAAATAGAAAAGAACTCACGACCTGGGCCTTTCAGATGCCAGCTAGTCTGCAGACCCATTCCAGATGCCACTAGAGTCCCCATGGGGGGGTACACTGTCCCAGGAGGCTGTGAGTTGCATTACCCCCCTCAGTACTTCTCATTGAGCAGGTGGCCACTCACATAGGTAAGGGAACCTGAGGAAAGGGGAATGGATCCAAGAAGTCAGGCACTGGAATACACTGAGCTGGGTTGGGATCCTGACACACAAAGCACCATCCTGGCTAGTGGGGCATGGTAGGCATTTGAGGGCCAAGGATTCAGTGGACCCGGTCCACAGACCCTCCCTGAGACATTTCTCAACCCCTGAGTGTGTTATTTGGCTTACAGAGAAAAGGTGGTGGGTGGAAGCTAAGCAGTAGGGATAGACAGGTGGATTACTCTGGAATTGCCCAACTACCCACCTCCAGCCAGGAGAGTCAAAACAATGCATCACCCTGGGAAGGAGAGCAGAAAAAAATGCCACCCTCAGAGCCCAGGAGGTGTGGGATGCTGGTCCTCCCCTCCCTCCTGCCAGCAGGACAGGTGGACCCTGGTGGGTGACAGTGACTGCTGCAGATGCACCAGTGGGAGCCCAGATGCAGCCAAGGGCCTGGAGTCTGGGGGTGAGGGCATCAGTCTGGCACATGTAGCATTTTCTGTGCCTACAATGGTGCACACTCACATCCACCCTCAGGAAGGGAAGCTCAGCACAGTAGTTGGGTGTGTGGATGTGCTGCTTTGCTCTGTTGCTGGTCTTTATTGAGTCACTCATGCTCACATCCTGCTTCCAGTGCCTAATTAACACAGGTACAAAGGCCTAGTCTTCTTGCTCTGCCCCCATTGTGTCCAAAGGGCTATCCCTGGTCCAGGGCACCTAAGTGTCAGCTCAGGTCTTGGTGGGCCAACTGCAGCCCAACTTCTTCTACTTCCTCTCTTCCCTTCTACAGGGCTTCATTTCAAGAGCTTTCTAATAAAGTCCTACATACAAATGTATTTAGAGTCTGCTTTCTGGGGACTATGGATAGGGGCAACCTCACAGGCCTTGTGGTTATTCCAGTGCCTGCATTCCCCTCAGAGTGCAGTGGAAGCCCTCATAGCACTGTGGGCCGAGGTGGAACACATGTCTGTTTTCCCAGGGTCACCATGCCCTCGGTACTGAGCAGCAAGGAAGTAAGGACCCACCTAGGAGGTCATCAGGGAAGGGAGGCTCGGTCTCAGAGGCTCCACATGGCCTGGAAGGTGGGCCAAGAGGACTTGGTGTGGGCCACAGAGGGATAGGGAAGGCAAGACTCAGGTCTGAGTTGGCCATGCAAAGAAGTCCCTACCTGCTCTGGGCAGAGGCCTCTTATTGAAGAGGCCAGGGTGGCCCCCTGCACAGTGCATGCTGGAGCCCTGAATCTAGAGTTGAAGAGGGAAGACCAGGCTGAAGACACAACTAAGTTGTTAGCACAGGATGCATCTCTAGTCCAATGCTGGGTCCTCCAGAAGGACCTGTGAGCCCTAAATGGGACCATCCCACTTACCAGCATTTTGGGAACAGGGAGGTCAGCTGTGAGCAACTAAGGAGCTGCCAGCTGGGAGAAGAACAGGGAGGGAGCCCCAACAGACTCCCCTACCACCTACCTTAGTGGGGTGGCTTCCAGCTGTCTTGGGGAGGGTTCACTTACCAAGGTCACTTCCCCCTAACATGCCTCTCCCTTCTGCCCCTGCTGTTCCCTCCTCTGCTGTTGGTCTGGCAGACTGTCTTTCCTTCTCTACCTGCTGTGGCCTCTCTCCTACAAGCCACCAGAGGGCACATATTTATTCCCAAGGTCCCCACCCCCACCCTGGCACTGGCAACCAGAAAGTGATGTGGGCAGAGCCTGAGTTCTGAGGTCCAGGGAGCCCAGGTCCTGAGGCAGGGTCCTGGTCCAGGCAGGGGCTCCCTCCCACCCCACCCCCCAATGCTGAGGTAGCTCCTGCCGCCCACAGTACTGAGATAGCCTGCCCCTAGAGGAAGGGGTAGTGGTGGGCTGCCCGCCAAAGTGGGGGTGAAAGTGGTGGGGTGTATAGGTTGAGGTCTCTGCCACTGCCCCTACCCACAACCTTCCATGGTGGGGTGTGCTCCTCTGGTGGGACATCTGGGGCAGAGGGGTCTGTGGAAAAAGTCTGTGGCCACTACTTGGTCAGAAGCAGCTTGGCTGGAGCAGGCCAGGCGCTGGCCTGAGGCTGTAATTTGTGCTATTTTTAGCAGCACTGCGGGAGGGCCTGGAGCTATAAGTGTCAGAGAGTGCCCACCCTCGAAGCAAGAGTGGAACAAGAAGAGACGGCGCTGGTACCCATGGACACGTCGTTCCCCTGCGAGGACCCTGGGCACCTGACGCCCCGCAAGGCCGATGGTGCTACCCCCACGGCCCTGACACTGGGGGCGCCAGGACCCCCACCTCGAGATCACTTGGTGTGGTCGGTGGTCAGCAGCCTCTACCTGAACATGTGCTGCCTGGGTTTGCTGGCACTGGCCTACTCCGTCAAGGTGGGTGGCAGGCACTCTGTAGGGCATGCCAAGGTGGGGGCCCACAGGGCTGTTCATTGAGACAGGAGAGGGAGGGCCTGCTCCACCCAAACCTCCAGCAGAGGATGTGGGGCTACCCACAGGGCCCCCTTTCCTCAAGCAGAGGCTTTCACAGGCTGTGGAGGTGGGAGGGGGAGCTCACTCTGGTTTCATCGAGTGGAGTGGCCGTGGGGGCCCACACACCTCAGAGCACTCCTCACCCACAGAGGGCCTGGTAGGCAGATGCTGGCCTGGAGTGGTCACTGAGTCCATGGGTGGGGGCTCAGGGCAGGGTCAGGCCACATCCCTCCAGCCAGATCGTGGGTCCAGCAGGGGTCCTCCAGGTGTCTGGATGGGGGAGGCAGGGTCCCCAGGCCTGAGGACATGCAGAGATCTCACCCTTCCCCACATCTCCCATCCCCACCCCACAGGCCCGAGATCAGAAGGTGGTGGGGAACTTGGAGGCAGCTCGGCATTTCGGTTCCAAAGCAAAGTGCTACAACATTCTGGCTGCGATGTGGACATTGGTGCCGCCACTGCTGCTCCTGGGGCTGGTGGTGACCGGTGCCCTGCATCTGGCCCGGCTGGCCAGGGACTCTGCAGCCTTCTTCAGCACCAAGTTTGATGATGGGGACTATGACTGACCCTGTCAGGCCCGACCCCAGGACACTGATCCAGGGAGCTACCCCAAGGCTCGGTGCTGGCCCTCCAGAGCCTGACCCCACCCAGACCCCAGGGTCCTCCAACACCAAGAGGGGCACCTAATGCTAACTCATTCAGACCCAGGTACCCGACACTAACCTAGAGGCCCCCAGCCCCTAACTCTCCCTGCTCACTCACCGGGGTCATACCTAGACTCACAATTAAAGTGCCTCATTGGAGAAAGTGCCTCCAGGGCCTCCTTCTGGGGTGGGCTGGGGGAGAGAGCTATCCTAGGCATTACCAAAGCCAAGTTCTCTACTGTGGCTCAGCAGCCCTGTTCTATCTGATGGGTTGTGACCAATTGTCCCCTCAGCTTAGCCACTGGGCAGCTTGTGGCTTCTGGGGTGGAGACACCAGAGTATTTTAGAATAAAGTTGGGGATCCAGGCTTTGATCTCTGCCATTTTGTGGTTTAGTGGCCTGTGCTCCAGAACACGTGTGGGTGTGTCTCAATTCCACACACATGCTGTGCCATCTACATGCAGCATGTCTGTGCACGCAGGGCCTAGTGAGTGTTGTGGTCTAAGTGGGAGTCCATGCCTGTGTGCGCTCCTGGTGGGTGTTTGGTGTGGGCTGCCCTCCTTCCAGGCTGCTCTGGCCCTAGGTGTCCCCTTAATTCTGAGAGATCTCAGTTTGCACCATGGTTTCCCTCCCTCCTGGGTCAGTGAGGGTGGCTAAAAAGGCAGGGGGAGGACTGTCTCCTGGGTGGTGCTCACACATATCATCCACATGCATACATACATCCTACACACAGGCACAGACTCCCTCCCTCCTTGCTCCCACCACCTGTGCACAGAGAAGCAGACAGGGAAAAAATAGGGGGCTGGGCAATACTTTTGAGTCCTCTGGTGCTTGATGCATGCCCTCATATTACTATATTTCACCTCACTTGTGCACCACATGGCGTCCCACACACATCCACTGGAACCAACAGAGCTTAACAAATAGAGGTTGCTCCACACACATACAAACCCTGTGCGGTTAGGGTGAGGCCCTGGGACTTTGCTATGGCTGGCCAATGACAGGGTGGGCTAATTACAGGGGCCTTAACTGTAAGGAAGTTCAGGTTTTGAACACTCCACCCAGGGTCCCTTCCCTCCACATGGAGCCTCTCAATCTGCGGCACCCCTGTAGTCAGCCACTGGCCCATCTGCCTTCATGGAGCCCCAAACTGAGGACAGTGTCTGCGGGTTGAGCAGACCCTGCATGTGTGTGTGCTGGGACAGACAGGGCTAATCTCAGGATAGGACAGTGTGCCAGCTTGAGCTTGGACTGGGATGGAGATGGTGTGCCCACCCTGAGCTCCAGGTTTGATCCAACAAGAGGCTAAGTTATGCCAGATGTAGAGGCTGGTAACAGGGTAGCTCATGTGTGGCTGGACACATGTCCTCAGGATAGGATGGATGGTCTGTCCACTCAGTGAGGGGCAGGGGTCTGGCCCATGGCAGGTGTTGAGTTTCAGTTGCACCTCCTGAGGGGAAGTATCACTAGCAGCCTTCTTACCCCAGGCTGAGTCTCCTGGGCAGGTTGACAGATCCTGGCCAGCCATCCCAGCACATGGGCACTGGCTGGCCCTTCACCACTCCTCACAGGGTCACCCCACTGTGTGCACAGAGTTGACCACATATACATACACATGCCACACATGCAGGCTGCATATGTCCTACAGGTGTAGGGCCTCCTGCCTCCACGCTCTGATGCCTGTACTCACGTCATCCTGGTGAGAGCTGCCAGGGTAAGCATCTGCCCTGCTGGCAGCATGTACCCCAAAGCCCCCATCTTGGCTCCTTGCTGCCCAGGGACAGACTTTGATGGCCACAGTTCTGCAGATGAGGGACCTCAGTGGGGCCCACAGAGGCCAGAGATCCATTCCTCAAGACCCCACACCCTCCACTGTGGCTGTGAGCCTGGGCAAGCATGCACCTGGTCACAGTGGCCTTAAGAAATGTGTCCACTGGCTTCTATCAGCTGCACCCCACCCAGTTCTCGTCAGGGCAGCCATGAGGATGCCTCTTAGGGCAACTCAGCTGTGGGGCACACACTTGCATCCCACATGCTGCTCCTGAGCAGCAGAGCCAAGGAGACAAGACACCTGCAAGACATCTCCACACACACTTCCTTCCCTCACAAGTTGCCACAGACCTATGTCCATGAGGCTCTCTGCAACTGAGAGGCCTGGATCATTCTGCTGGTGGCTGCTTCTTGGAGAACATGGACAAAGTCTCCACCAAGAGCAAGGAATAGGGTTATCCTACAAGAGAGATGGGAGGTGCAGGAATGAGGAGACCTCCTGCTCAGCTTGAGCTCTGGGGCTGCTGCATCTCTGGCTCCCAAGTGAGGAGGGAAGCAGGACTCATCACACAGTCCTTGCTTTCAAAAGGAAGGAAGCTCCTCGGAGGAGTGAGTCTCCCTGCTTTAATTCCTTAAGCTGATGTGGTGTCCAGGCCTCGGTTTTTATCAGGATTTCTCAGTAGATGCCCTCTACTGTCCTTTTTGGGAAATCACCAATGACTCACCCCAGGGGCTGAGGCCCAGGAGTTGGGCAGAGCTTCTGGCTGTGGCCCTGGGCTTCTCACAGCCAGGGCTTTGCCCCCTACCTAGGGCAAAGGGGCCCAGGGCCATAGTCTTTAACCCATGCACATTTGGTTCTGGCCCCTCTAGCTGGTCAGTGGAAAGATTTGGGGTCTTGCTCTCACATGCATCTGTTCTATTGCCTGATGATAGACACCTCCCCACAGGCTATGTGGAGAAGAAGGGCTTCCCACCACCCTGTCTGTGCCACAGGCTGTGGAGCCCAGCTTTTGGATTAAGCCACCGTGTGAGCTCTGGGACTGGCCACACCATGCCTGCTCCTCAGTGGCATCATGTGGACAGTTTCTTTTTGGCAAAGCTGCAACTGAGAGGCCTGGATCGTTCTGCAGGTGACCAAAGCCGCTTCCTTCAGGCCCTTCACATTGCCATCCCCACGGAGGTCTGCACCTGCCTCTGCTTTCTCAGCCAAGTTTCTGGCTGCTTCTGGGACTGCAGCTCCCAGAAGAGTGGGGTACAAGAGGCCAGAGATGAAGTGTGGGCCAATTAAGGACTTAAGAAGGGCTAAGGCTGGAGGCAGATGGCCTTCAACTTTAGGCCAAGCAACCTGGACTTTCCTGTGAACTGGGCAGCAGGTGGGTTGGGGTTGCAGGTCAGAAGGTGTCAGAGGGGTGGGAGTGGAAAGAGTGGCCAGAGAGAGGCCATGAGGAGAGACAATTCTGGACCCAGCACTCCTGGTTGTTCAGGGGCAGGGCTGGAGGAACCAAGGGTGAATCTGAGGGGTATTTAAGCTCTGCAGCAAGTGTCTCACACCCCCAAACCCTCTGCAGGAAACTCCTGCAGCTGAAACTTCTAGGCAGCTATGGAGCTGATTTTTGTATCCGGCCAGCAGAACGGGGAAAGGAGACTTTGTTTCCTGCAAGAAGGAGGCAGCCTGAGGGTAGGGCATACACAGTGGGGCACCCTGAGGTCAAATGTCCCCAGGCTCTGGGGGGCTGAGGGAGGGGTGTCTGGGAATGGTCCCTACCTGGCACCAGGGGAAGCAGAGCCTGTGATGGCCAAAGCTTGGCCTCCAGTGGTGGGGCCCAGGGTCCCTCCCGGGCCATAACTTCTACTGTCACAAAGTCCTCAGAGAAGGAGAAGTTCAGCTTGTTCCCCTGATAGGAGATGCCAGAGATACACACTCTGGAGACCCCTGCCAGGCACATGGGGTCAAAAGTCACACCTGCTCTGGTGAGCCTAAGGGAAGAGAGCTGTGTAAGGGGAAGGTAGGGGAGGACACTACCCTCTGCCAGCTGCTGTGATTACCTGAACCCTGTGCACCCAAAGAGTACAGCCTGCAGGAAGCCTCCCATGCCTGTCAGGAAGTTCACAGCGCCTGACCCATCAGCATTCTCTGTCCACACCTGCAGGGTCAAGGGGGGAGTGGATGCCAGGACACCAGGACATGCCCTCCTCTCTCTGAATCTGGCTCCACTCCCACCACAGGGGCCAAGTGGGGGCCAGGCTAACCTTGAAGGGCTCTGTCATGTTGGTGAAACTCCTGTCCAGAAGGGCCCGAGCCCGCACTGGGTCCTTCAGCTCCATCCAGCCCACTGCAAACATGCTCTGGGGGCAGAGGTTGGAGGACATGCTGAGGTGAGGCCCATTGCATGGGGAGGGAAGACTGTAGCCCAAGGAACAGGTATCCCTTTCTCAGCTGCTCACCCAGGTCATAGCGGGACCCTGGGGGGATGTCACAGCCTCATAAATTTCCAAGTTTTTCCTGCGCACATCGGGATTCAGAGGGAAGGGAACCGGGTACCCCAGGAGCACAACATCTGCCTGCTTCACTTGCTCTCCTGGGGAAGGTGCTGCTGATGAGGTGGGTACCTGGGTGGATGGAGGGTCTACAGGAAGGGAGAGCAATCTTCTAGGGAGCTCAGAGTCTACTCACCAGGCTCATACCCATCAAACTCAGGGTGGAAGTTCTGCTCCCAGTCAAAGGGCACCTTGATCTTGTCTGCCACCTCCAGCCACTGGTTAGGGATGGGCAGCCCTAGGTCCTGAGCCAGGTCAGCAGCAAAGTGCAAGCTAGAGGTGGAGGGAAGGGACACTGCAGCCCCAGCCCTCACAGTTGGCTCCTGCTGGGGCCCCAGCCTGGGGGTGGGTCTCAGGACTGACCTGTTCTGGGCCAGGACGTTGGTGTATACGGAGTTGTTGACCCCTGTGTGGTACTCATCTGGAGGCATGACTCCTTGGCACACAAGTCCAAGACGCTACTTAGTGCAGAGTCTCAGGGACCTGCCCTTCATGCCAGTGGTCAGTATGGGGTGGCACAGCCAGGTGCCCAAAATTGCCTGCTGGGTCTGGGAGCACTCCCCACCAGGTACGCACCTCTCAGGTGGTATTTCTCCTCTTTGGGGTTCCATTCCACGCGGCTACACCAAAACTCAGCTACAGCACTGACCACATCCCAGCCACCAGCCTCTCGGAAGAGCTGCAGGTCCTGGAACAGAGGCCAAGGCACTGGCACCAGTCATACCACCCAGTGCCTACCTTCTGGGCAACCAGAAAGGACAGACTGGCTATGAGCCATCCATCCTCAGCCAGCTTCCGAGGGCTGGCCCCAAACAGGACTTCAGGAAGGGCAGAGGCATGTCTCACCTGGGTGGCATGGTAGTACAGCTCAAAGGCCAGTACCACGGCCCCATTGATGTGGATCTCCTGGACCCCATAAATGTCTTCAGGGCAGACCTCCAGGCCTGAGCCTGCACTCTCCCAGGCAAACTTGGCTCCCTGGGTTGGGGGGAGGATGGAGTAGATTTGCCCCTGTTCTCGGGGGGTAGGGGTAGCCCACCAACTTTACCATGCCTTCAGCCTTCACCCCAAGGGGCCAGAGGAGTGGAAGCATGGTGCCCTGGGTGTCTGTCCCCACCTTGGGCCATGGCAGTGAGCGATCCTGGGGGTGGGGCTGAGGAACCCTGCTGCTGTTGTTCCCACCTCCTCTTTCAGGTGTGAGCTGATACATGTCAATGGGGTGGTCTGCTGAGGCCTCACAAGCCTTGGGGTGGAACACCCAGGATGTGTGCTATGTCTTCTCCTAGACAGAGCCCTGGTGGGCAAGTGCCCAGGCCCCTTACCTCATAGCCCAGGTACTGGGCATTCTCTAGGGCCCCGCTAAGTGTACGGACTCGGTATTCCAGGATGGCTCTGGCGGCCTCTGGGTGGAGTATCAGGATGAGCGGGAACATCCAGAGGTCCTGTGAGCACAGCCCCTCATTCTGGAGCAGAGTGGGTGCTGACCCCACTCCCTTCCTCTAACCACGTCCAGCCCAGTACCCCTGGCCGAGAGCCCTGTCCTGCTTCAGGGGGGCCCTCTGCATCCGTCCAGGCTCTTCCTCTGCTGCTCACCCAGATGTCCAGCTCCAGCTATCTGATATACCTCCCTGGCAGGAGCTCAGGCCAGCTTCTGGGCATGGACAGTGAAGGTAGGAGCCCAACCTTGAGTGACTAACTGAACCTCAGCCTCAGACAGCAGATGATGAGGGAGCAGCCCTGAGCACAGTCACCCTTGACATCCCCATGCCCACTGGCCACCACATCCCTCTATCCCATGCCCTCAGTTTCTACTGTCTCCTCAGCCTCCTCCCCTAGCTTCTTCTCTGTCTCCTCCCTTGCAGTCCCACAAGTCTTTCCAGAAAGTGTCGTTCTTCTGATTAATGTCTCCACAGCTTCCTTGACACTCAGGTAAATTCCAAGTGCCACACTGTGCTCTCTACAGTGCCCTGGTGACCTGGCTTTATTGCTCTTCCTTCCCACCAGGTGCCTTGAGCCCCTTTAGCTCTGGGTCTTTGCATCTCTGGTCGGTCCGCTCACCTTCTACTAACCTCCTACACATCCTTCTGCTGAGATGCCCCCTCCTCCAGGAAGCCTTCCCTTCTGCCACAGCCCCTATGCATCCCTGACCACACCCCCAATTCCAGGGAGGGCAGAGGCAGTGGCTATCCATGCCCACATGTCACCTGCCATGTGACTAGCACTGGGTGTATGATGCTCACCTGGTCCCAGAAGACGTGGCCCCAGTAGCATTCTTCACGGCTTCCGTTGGAGAGGCCACCAGGACTGAGGCCATGGCAGATATATCCTGGGGCCCCGGGCTGGGGCAAGGCACTGAGCAGGTAGTAGAGGGAGCCACGAAGGGCCTGGCGCAGGGGCAGGGGCCCCACAACGTCCAGGCCACAGCCTGCCCAGAGCTGGGTCCAGGCCTCTGTGTGGGCCCTGTACAGGGCACCCTTGGCCTGCAGCTGCAGTGCCTCAGTGAGGCAGGCCTGTGCCTCAGCCTGGCTGCTGCCCACCACTGTCAGGAAGTCCCAGGCCCCATCTTCCCCACCTTCCCCAAGGGTCAGAGCTGGGGGCACTGGTGTCCACAGCATGTGTACCTCCTGCTTCGGCCCTCCAGGCTGCTCAGGGGTGAGTGTATGGCCATAGAGGTACCTGTAAGAGTGTGGCCTTGCCTCAGGGATGGGCTCCTCACTTGGGCTCCCAGCCGGGACCCCAGCCCCTTCCTCACCGGGCTCCTTGGAAATCAGGACCCAGATGCAGGTCCAGGTCTGGGCTTTCTGGGGAGAAGGACGATCGCAGCAGCACCGTGATAGGCTCATTCCCTTGGGACAGGCGGGTGATGGACACACTGAAGGCCAGGACATGGGGCAGAGTGCGGTGGGCATAGATGCACTGGGAGGTTCGGAAGCTGGGGCCCTCTAGGGTATGCAAAAAGGAGCCTGGGAAGGGTAGGAGGTAAGGCAGGATCATCCATGGAAGGGTGCAAAGCTGCCAGCCTCCCAAAGCTATGGGCTCCTGGTCGTCATCAAGTGCCCCTGACCTCTTGCCACCTCCCCACAATGAAGTGGAATCCTCCTCTGAGCCTCAGTCCCTCCATCTAGGAGTCTGCAGCTGTACAGGGGAGCCCCAGATGGAAGGGAGGAGGAACCTTGTCTGGCAGCCTTTTGTGAGACTCCTGTGTAAGATTGGGAGGTGCCAGGTGGGCTTTGCTAGTATGGTTCCCCACTCACCTGGAACAATGGCTTGGGGGGCAGGTGGCCCTACCTGTGCTGGTGTCCAGGGCAAAGGTCTCTGTCAGCTCTTCTCCCATCTCTGCAGGGACCTCTAGCTGGACATTGAGGGGGCTTGGCAAAACTGCTCGGTGTGTGTCTCCCCCTGCCCCATTGTACACACCACTCACATGCAGTGTATCATGATATACTCGTGTGCCCAGGTATGTGTTGGTCACAGTGGCCAGGAGCCGGGGGTCACTGGGCAGAGAATGGGCAGTGAATACAGTGGGGTCCTCATTGACATCCTCCATGGAAGGGCCCTTTAGCTGCAGGAGAAAGGGTTGTGGCTCTTGTGAAGGCTTGGGCCTCCCTCTTCAGGCTTCTGCAGCCCCCAGAACACTGTCCACCAGATAGTGAATGGGTATGGGACTGGTGGGCAGCCTGATTCTCTAGAACCCCCATCTACGAGTCACTTTCAACTCCCAGAAGGGCTCAATCCCCCGGAAGTGATCTCTGGAGACCCAGCTGAGGCCTCAGACAGTCCTCCAACCCCCACCCGGAAACCCCAGCCCTAACGCTTGGCAGGACTCCGAGAGGAGATGCAGTTCCCTGCACCTTCCCGGGGCAGGATTTGGTCTGCTGGCCGATGGGGCCAGCGTCCAGTAAGGTCTTAGGCCCCTCTTCTCCTCCCGGCCGAGGGCAGGACGGGGCTGATCTGGCCGGGTCTGGGGAGGGCAGGTCGGCGGTCTCTGAGACTCACTGCACCCCTGCTTGTCCACTAGACATACCGCTTGGGCACCTGCGTCCCTCAGCTCCACCCAGAGGTCTAGATCCTGCTCCCACAGGGGCCGAGGAGGGAGCAGCGGCCTGGTTCTTGGTCGCGGCGTCACCAGAAAGACTCCGGGGCCCCGCCCCTGAGGGCCTCCCGTGGGCGGGGCAAGTGGGCTGGACGCTGCTCAGGCCCAAGGCAGAGGCACAGCCCCAGTTGCTGCCCTGACTCCCGTCATGCCCCTGACTGCTTACTGTGGGCTTGGTGTTCTCTGCTAGTACCAGACATGGCGGGACCTGAGTGAGAAGCGTGACTTGACCCAAAGCTGTCTCCAAAGGTGGAGGTGAGAGAGGCCTACGAAGCCTCAGGAGGCTGTTCCCCTCTCTGATTCCTCCTTCTCCCCTGTTCCCCCACTTAAGGAGCATCCTGGCTACTTCTGGAGAGCACCCTTCAGCTCTCCCAGCCTTGCTTCCAACTCAGCCTTCCCATACCCTCCTGCTTGGCACTGGGTCTGCTCTCCCTGTGTCTCAGTTCCCTGGCCTGTTCTGTCACTCTGACCTAGCTGGAGACACTGGGATTCAGTGCACCTTGTGCCCCCAAACCTGCTCTCCCCTGGCTCCTCCATCAAAGGTGAGCTCCCTTCTGCCCTGGCTTACCTCTGTCCCTCTGTCCCACAACCCATGCCCACCCATAGACAAGTCCTGCCAGCACCTTGCATCTCAGTGCCCGGCTTCCTTCTGGGCCCATGCACCATGCACCAGCACTGCTCAGACCCCTAACCCTAACCACAAACCCTGCCCTACCCCTGCCTGGGTTCCAGACCTCATCTTCCTGCTCTCAGAGAGTTCTGAGCATACTGCCTTCCTGCTGTTGTGCTGCCTCAGCACTCTTGTATCTTGGAGCTCCTTTCCTTCTCTTGTTTGCACATGCCTAGTCCCCTCACATGCAGAGGGAGACTCTCCCTCCACTCCCACTGCCCTCCATGGTACTAGTTGGCTCTTACCTACACAGACATTTTTATTGTATTATTGATAGGGCTGAATGTAGGGACCCACCCAAAAGAACTGTCAGCCCAGAAAAGAACGTCCTGCCCAGGAAGGAATGAGTGTGCCAATCCCTACCCCTCCCACAAACTCTTATATTCCCACCCCCGCCTTAACCCATGTGCTGACTTCTTTTTCCAACCCAGCCAACTCGCACCTCAGTGAATAAAGGCCATGTTGCCCACACAGAACCTAGACTCCGCTTTCTTTCATTTATGTCTCGGAATAACTCCTCATTTTTGGTCCTTAACCTCTTAGTTGTCTCATGTGTCACATGTGTATTTATGGTGTTACATATTTGTGTATCACATATGTATTTATTGTATTGTCTTATGTATCACATACATATTTATTCTTTCTGCCTAGACTGTTAGCTCTGGAGGACCAGGAGTTTTGTCTGTTTTGTGGAATGAGGGAATGGATTTGGAAAGAGAATTAGAGGGAAGTTGAGGAGCTGACTCCAGGGTCTCTCCTATCTGGACTGGCATCTGGGGAGCTGACTGAGCTTAGCAGTGCTGAGCAGGGAAGGCTCCAGGGTGCAGGGCTGATCAGTGCTGGCCCTGTCCATCAAAGCCACACCATGCCCCAGAGCTTTCTGCAGTCAGGCTGGCCACTTGAGCCTCAGCTTCTTCATTGGTGGACTGGGGAAACCTCAGCCCTGCCTTGTATAGGTGCATTGGTGGAAAGGCTGTAAGCACCTGCTAGCGCACCTGGCCAAATGTAACAGAAACCAATGGAAATGAGTCCAAAGGAGAGTTTATTATTGGTGCAGAGAAGCTGCCCACCCACCATGGCTTTCACCTGGAGTCAGGTTCACCAGTTCTATCCCACTCTCCTCTGAACTCTCTTCCCAAAGGCCTTAGACAGTGAGTAGATACCTCTGGGTTCACCCACATGGCCTCAGTGAGTCTCACTCCTAATGCTAAGACCCAAATTTACAGGGAGACACAGTGACCTATGGGGTCTGTGAGGGCAGAGTTGCAGAGACTAGTGGGGCCCATGTTGCAGATGGGGCCCAGTCAGGAAGGGGTCACTCTGCACATAGTAGGCGCTCAGTTAGTTGAAGCTCGAACCAGTGCTATTGTTACTGGGGGGGGGGCATCGTGAGGGGCATGGCTAGAGGGCCCCAGGAAGGAAAGTAGGTGGAGGGGGAGTGAGATTGGAGGAGTCCCCCAGGGTATGGAGAGAGGACAGTTCTAAGGCCTGGATTGGGCTGGAGGCTGGGTCTGTCTGGCCTGCTCACTGGCCTATCCAGGGTCTCAAAAGAATTGCCCAGAGGCTGACCAACATCTGGTAGCCCTTGGAATGGGGAGGTCTCCTTTGCAGCAGGCTCTGACTATAGAGTTCTCCATCCTGCTCTGGCTTTCAGGGCCTCAGAGGGCACTGCTGAATCCTGTGGGAGGTGCAGAGTGGCTGTCCAGTGCTGGGTGTATGATAACCAGATCTGGCTTTGCTGTCTTCACAGCCCGAAGCTCTTGCATGCACCCCTCGTTCAGCTCCATGGAGGCCAGGCTGCAGTCACAGGAACGGATGGTCAGTGGGGGGAGAGGTCAAGACTAGGGGCAGTGCTGCAGTAGTAGGAGGAGGTAGGGGCAGGGAAGGGCTATTGACCCAGGAACAGGGACAGAGGATAGTCACTTAGGAGGTTTTTCAGAGGCTGGGGCAGGGGAGGCAATGGCTAGGGGCCTTTTGAGCAGTAAAAGGGCATCAGAATCACTGGAGCAGTCCGTGGCTATAGGCATCAGACAATAGATGGATATTTGGTCAGGCAGAGTGGTCAAGGCCCAGGGCTATGGCCAGGGCTCAGAAGGGGCTCTTTTAGGGCTGGGCTTCCAGGTCCGTTTGAGCTGAGTCACTTGGGAGGTCCCTGTGAGGAGCTCCTCTTCAGGGTCCAGGGGAAACCCCCAGGCATCCACCCCCACCCCAGGTTGACAGGCTGTGTCCCCAGCACCCTTCCTGCCCCTCCCTCTACCTGAGGGTCTGCAGTTTGCATCCTGGGTGCTGCAAGACTGCACACAGGTAGGTCACCATGGAGTCAGGCAGCTGACAGCCACTGAGGTCCAGGGTGGTCAGGGCGGGGCTCTGCTGAAGCATGCCTACTAGGTACTGGAAGGCTCCCTGGAGGCCAGGCACCTGCAGCCTGGGAAGAGGGCTGACCTCAGGAGCTGCTAGATGGGGGATCCATCCCTTAGTCCCTCATGGGCCAGGCCTCACCTAAGTGTCTGGACCTGGCACTGGGGCCAGGCAAGGCCCTCGCTCAGCAAACGCAGGGCAGCCTCACTGAGCCGGCTGTGGCGGAGACCCAGCTCTGTCAGGGCAGGGGCAGCCCTTAGGGCCTCAGAGAGGTCTCTGCAGACTGCATCCGAAAGTTTGCAATGGGACAGCCTGTAGTTAAGAAGCACACATCTGCAGACCACTCACCCACCTCTCCACCCCCAGTCCTGGGTGGTTGTGGTCCTCCTTGAACCCCACAGAACCTTCTGGCCCTTTGTCACTATGTGTCCCTGGGGAGCTGTGTCCAATGTGTCCACATGCTGCTCTGTGCCCCACTTTTCCCTTATGGACTTCTTGATGAGCTGAAACAGATCTTACTTTCAACATGTTTGAGTACCACATAATTGTCCATCAAGTTGAGGGGGGCCATAGTTTAGTCAGCCAGTCTGTAATGGTTGGGTAGTGGTGCTGTTTCTATTTTTGCCATTGTAAATAGTGGTATGCTGAACATCTTTACACATTTATTTATTTTATTTTTTGTTGTTGAGACAGAGTCTCACTTTGTCACCTTTGGTAGAGTGCGTGGTATCACAGCTCACAGCAACCTCAAACTCTTGAGCTCAAGCGATCATCTTGCCTCAGCCTCCCAAATAGCTGGGACTACGGGCACCTGGTATAACACGCAGCTATTTTTATTTTATTTTGTTGAGACAGAGTCTCACTTTGTCAGCCTTGGTAGAGTGCTGTGGTGTCAGCTCAGAGCAACCTCAAACTCCTAGGCACAAGCAATTCTCTTGCCTCAGCCTCTCGAGTAGCTGGGACTCCAGGTGCCTACCACAATGCCTGGATACTTTTAGAGACAAGGTCTCGCTCTGGCTCAAGCTGGTCTCAAACTGGTGAGCTCAAGCAGTCTATCCGCCTTGGCCTCCCAGAGTGCTGGGATTATAGGCATGAGCCACGCCTGGCCTAAACATTTACTTTACCGGTAGAATTGCTAGGCCAAATGTGATCACCTTTGTAGCCCCCATGTTATCTCCAGAGTGCCACATCCTCCCCTCCTCACAAGCTAATTTGCCATGTCACTGTTGACACAGGACAGCCTATTTCATCATGCCCATCACTGCTGGCACCTATAGTTTTTCTTACCTTCTGCTCACTTGATGCTGAGAGTAACTGGGAAGTTGTTACCATCTAAGTATTACACATGAGTGACCTTGTTAAGTCTCACTCCAGCGCTCCTACATAGCATCTACTGGCTCCATGGAGCAGGCCAGGATCTGCAGTTGCCTGAGCTGAGGCCTGGGCCTGACCCTTCCCTTCCCTGCCTCCACCCACCACCTCACCCCCACCCCCACCCCTGTGTCTGAGAATGCAGGTCACCCAGCAGTTTCCAGCAGTACTTCGAAGCTGTCCTTTGGAAGAAAAATATATATTTTTATCCCTCCTTCTGAATGCTTAGCTGCACTTTGCTTTCCACTTGGACTAAGCCTTTCCCTACTAGCATCCAACCCATAAATGCCCCTGGCCCTCCCCTCCCCCACCTGTGTGAGTGGAACTGCCAACCCCAGTACCAGACCCAGAAGCCACAAGCTCCCAGCCTGCCCTCAGCCACTGCCACCAGGCTACCTGCTGTCTCCCAGAACATCCCACTCTTTGGCCCCTGGGGCATGGGCACTCACGTGAGGCTGCTCAGCCCGCACTGTTGGTCAGTCATGGCCTCGAAGAGTGGACACAGTGGGGAGGCTGGGAGTTGTTTCATGGTAGTTCGAGAACTGCTGGGTGAGAGAGAAAGGTAAAGCCCATCTTGCCCTCCCAGAAAGGGCTCCTTCCCATCCCTGCTACTGGGGTCTCATCACTGACCCTGCCCCTCACTTCTAAGCTCAGCCAGGACCTCCCCTACCTTTTATCTTCCTCCCACCAAACCCAGAGTGAAACTGCTCATCTGTGGCCTGTGAGCACCTAGTGTGAGGATGTCATCCACATTCCCAGTGTGGGTCTTCAGGACCCCAGGCCCGGCCTCTGTCAATATCCCAACACGCATTTTCTCAACAGATGCCATACACCGGGGCAGGTGCTGAGTTGCAGCTAAGTCCAAAGAAACTCTCAGAAGCCTTGCCCTGAGGAGCTGAGAGTCTGGTGGATAAGCCTGGCACATCTCATGGCAGGGTGGTCAACAAGACACTTTTGGGGCCAGTGGGGTCCTAGGCCAGCTGGGGGAGCCAGGGCAGGCTTTGAGGACAGGCAGCAATCTGAGAATGTTCTGGGTAAAGGGAGTTGCAAGTGCAAAGGCCCAGGGCACAGAGAGCATAGTCTATTCCAGCACTTACGGAAGAAGGGTAATGGGGAGTGGGAGAGTTGGCCCAAGTGCATGCCCACGCTGGGAGGTTTGCCTTGGTTGTGTATGACTGGGGGTGGGTGCAGTGAGGACTCCCCCTGTGCCCCCCCCCCGCAGAAAAAGATGGGTGGTGGGCAGCTGCCTTGCAAAGAGGTAGACAAAGCAACCCAGGAGTCCTCCCTCCTGTCTGAGGGAGCAGGCATCTGGTCTGGACACACTGCCCTCGCTCAGATGGACACTGAGGTGCACAGGCATGCAAAGGCACGCATGCCTCACACCCAGGAGGGCCTGCTAGAGGCAACTCTGCCCTGGAGACTCACCTGCTGCCGCCCAAGCTGCCCTGCAGCCGCTTCACCAGGCTCTTCTTTTTCTTCTCCTGTGCGGCGGCCAGGCTGCAGCTGACCAGCCGAAGTGCCTGTCCAGTGGGGCAACACCTCACGCAGTAGCTCAGAACAGCGATGTCCATGCGGCTGAAGCGCACGCGCTCCAGCACCAGCTCCCGGAAGCCACTCAGGGCCTGGCGCACGAAAGTGTCCTCCTGGGTCTCATACAGACAGTACAGCAGCTCCAGCGGGTAGCTGAGCTCCTCTCCCTCCTCCTCCTCTGGCTCTTCCACATCCTGGAGCCCTAGGGTCTCTTCTAGTGCCGCCGGCGGGCAGCCCTGACCCTGCACCCACTGCAGGGCTTCCTGCTTCACTCGCTCTGAAACCGCACAGCCAAAGTGGCGCTCAATGTCACCCATTCGCTCCGCGCTCAGGAGTCCGAAGAGGAAGCGCCTGGTGAGCACCAGGTGGCGGCGCAGCTGCGGGTCCCCGCGCAGGAGCGTCCCAACGCCGTCAGCCGCTGCCCTGGGAGACTCCTCCTCCTCCAGCAGGTAGGACAGAGCAGCGAAGAACTCTTGGAAGCTCTGGTCCATGAACTGGTAGGTGACCTCGGTCTCCAGCACGCCCGGCAGCTCTTTCTCGATAAGAAACAGTCTCTGGACTTTGGAGCCGCGAAGCTGGAGTCGCTCCAGGTCCTTTTCGACGAATTGAGCCCGACGTCCTAGGACGCCCTCGCGGGCCAGGCGGCACAGCTTCAGCAGCTGTTCCCGCACCTGGGGCCCATTGACAGTGAGAGCCGAGTTCAGCTCGCTGGCAATGTAAAACAGGTACACTGACGTGGTGGTCTTAGAGGTGCGCGACAGGTCCTGGCAGAGCTCCAGCTGCTGGCGCAGCACGGTGCATACGATCCAGCACACAAAGGGCACGAAGCACAGCGCGAACAAGGTCTCGTTCTCTTTCACGAAGCGGTAGGCGCGCTCGGCCCTCCATTCGTCCTGGAAGAACTTGTAGAAATACTTCTTCTTGTCCTTGTCGGAGAAACCGCAAACCTCGGCGCATTGGGGCGAGCACAGGCAGCCCTGCAGTCTCCTCGGGGCGGCGGCACGCCTGGTCACCAGGAGGCGGGCGGAGGGCAGCAGCGCCTTGTTCAGCAGCCCTCCCAGCACCCGCTCGCCACTCGTAGCCTCGAAGGGGTCTGTGCAGGGCCTGGCCTCACGGGGGTCCAAAAGTGAAAGCTCGTCCGCGCCGTCCAGGATGAAGAGGAGCCGCTGCGGCTGCCCCAGAATCAGTTGCATGGGAGCACCGCGGTCCGGGCATTGATCCAGGATCAGGTCTGCCAGGCTGCGCGCGCCGGGCCGCTCCAGCAGCTCGCCGCATGGCAAGAAGAAGGCGAAGTCCACCTGGCCCTGGTAGAGCTTGCCCGCCGCCCAGTCATACAGGATTTTCTTGGCCGCCATGGTCTTGCCAATGCCCGCTGGGCCCTGCAACACCACGGTCAGCGGCCGTTGGCCTTCCCGGTCGCGGCGGAACAGCCGATTGAAGGTGTGTGTGTCGGAGCGCCGGGCACGCTCGCGCTCCGCAGCCTCAGCCAACCCCAGCACCTGCTCCGCGGCCGCGCTCTCCGGCGCGATGAGCAGCTTGGTGAAGCGCTTGCTGATCTTCACCGATCGGGCGTTCCTCTCCTTCACCTTGGCATGCTCCCGGAGCACGTGCTCTCGGTATCGCTTTTTGTACTCTGTGGGAAGGATGGGTTACCCTGCGGTCGCGGGCTGCCTCAGGCGACCTCAGGGAACCGATGTCCTCCCCGCCCAGCTCAGGCCTCAGTTTCTTCTACTGCACCACAGCCTCCTCCCTCAACAGCCTCCCTGCACCTCCCTGGACTAGTTGTTGTGTTGGGAACCCCCAGGTGGTGTCGAGTTGCAACTTAGGGCTCACGGCTCAGGACCTCTACGGGCCTGCACCTCCCATCAAGAGAGACCTACCAGACACGGAGAGCAGCGCTGAGGAGCTGCGGCCCAGCCCTGGAAAGACAACCGGCATTGAGGACCCACTGAATGGCGGGGCGCAGTGGAAAGTCTGGGTCAGGAACTCCCAGGGTCCGAGCCGTGGGGCCCGAGAATTTGGGATAAAGAGGCCGAAACCCGGATTGCTCTGGGGATTTTCCAGGGAGGCAGGAAGGGAGCGGGGCTGGACTACCCGGACAGGAGGTGGTGATGGGGCGGGGACCCGGCGACCTCCCACCCGCAGCTCACTCTGCAGTCTCTGCTCTTTGAGCCGCGCTGCCACATCGCGCACGTCTGCCCGCTTCAGGGTCTTTCGAGCCACGTCGAGAGCCGGCTCCGGCCCGTAGAAGTGGGTCAGATGCTCAGCGAGGTCGACGGCGTCCGCATGCTCCAATCGCCCCCACGGGATGCTGCGTTGGTTAGCCGGGGCATCCCGTAGCTTGTGGCGGAAGCGCTTCAGCTGCTCCTGGCTGAGGTCCTCCAGTGCAGCCAGCAGCAGCTCACGGGCCACAGCAGCAGCTCCAGGACCCGAGCTACAGGCAAGGGTTGTCAGAGGGCTGCCCCAGTGTGCTGGCCCTGTCCTGTCGCCCCCTCCCTGACTCCGGTATCCCAGAGCTCATGGTGGGTGGGGGCTGAGATATGGTCAACGAGTTGTCCCGATCCACAGGTAAGGGGTGTAGAGGCAGGAGAAAGGGAGAGACTCCAGACTTTGTTCTCTTCTCCCAAGACCTGGGGCAAGGGGTCTTGGTGGTCCAAGATGAAGTGGGCATCCATGGATGCTGACACATGCACTGGTGGAGGTTTTCCTGCTCCATCCCTCCCTCCCACTTTATTCTTTCTCAGCCAGGCCAGGTCAGGTCAAACTTTCAAGATGAGGAATCTACAAGGGCCTGTGCCCTCTCCTTTCCCTCTGCTCCCTAGGGCCCTGGAGCAGAGCTGGCCTTAGCCGGCTGGCCCTAGCCAGCTGGCCCAGACTGTATTCCTGGACCTCCACCCCACACCAGGCCCCTTTTTAGTGGGGCTTAGCTTGGAAACCCTACACCAGGGACTGACCTCACAAATGCCATCTGTGGGGTCCTTTTTTTTTTTTCTTGAAACAGAGTCTCACTCTGTCGCCCTGGGTAGAGTGCTGTGGTGTCATACATCATATCTCACAGCAACCTCTAACTCTTGGGCTCAAGTGATCCTCTTGCCTCAGCCTCCCAAGTAGCTGGGACTAAATATGCCTGCCACAGTGCCCAGCTATTTTTAGAGATGGAGTCTTGCTTTGGCTCAGGCTGGTCTTGAACCTGTGAGCTCAGGCAATCCACCTGCCTTGGCCTCCCAAGTGCTGGGATTACAGGCATGAGGCACCTCGCCTGGCCGATCCTTGGCATCTTCAACCTGGAGTGGGGGTGAGGGAAGGATGTGGACAGGGGTGTGAAGGCCCAGGGGGTCAGCAAGTAAGGTGGAGGCCCCAGGGGACTGAGACCAGCTGGCCTCTAGATGACCTTGCTGGGAACCAGCACTTACCTGAGGTAGGAGGGCTCTGGCCCTTCCATGGAGTCTCCTCCCTAGGTCTAGCACTCTAGGCAGAGGCAGGCATCAGAGAGGTCACCCTCACCTGGCTGACCTGGAGCCATGTCCTTCTGATTGTCACCAAACTTCCAAACATGGATACTGTGACACACACACACTACTGCCCTTTAAGAGGTCTGCTTAGTGACCTTTGATTTCCTGCTACTTCTTTATTCCATTAACACTCCCCAAGTGTTAATGAAGTGGTATCCACCCACATGGGGCGTGGTATCAAGCAATGGCTGTGATCTGATAACTGCAGAGCAAGGTGGTCTACATGTAGGAGGTGGTTGGCTCAGAATGAGGCCTTTAGCTGAAGCCTGGAGAGAGGTTGGAGCCTGAGACAGGAGTGAGGAAGGGCTTTCAGTTAGACGGAATAACAGAGGGACAAGCACAGTGTTATATCACAGTCACCTGAGAGATGCTGGGACAAGGACAAGTTCTTCAGTTTCCCAAACCTGACTGAACAGACTATCAGACAGAGGTCTGGAATGAAGAGTGCCTGTGTGGACACGAGTGTGTGGTTCCATGACAGTGTGTGGAACATGTGAGTATGTGTAGGTGAGAGGTGCATGTGTGTGTGTGTGATCACATTGTCCTTGTGTCTGTGCGAGCGCGTCTGTGGTAGGCTAAATAATGGTTCCCGGGTGGTGCCTGTGGCTCAAAAGGGTAGGGTGCTGGCCTTATATGCCAGAGGTGGCAGGTTCATACCCAGCCCTGGCCAAAACTGCAAAAATAAATAAATAAAGTCTTTTAAAAAAAATAATTGTTCCCAAAGATATCAGCTCCTAATCCCCAGAGCCTGTGAATGTTCCCTCAGTAGCCAAAAAATAGGAGATTGTTATGGGTTATTCAGGTGGCCCAAACCCTAGGGCCCTGGGGCCCTGGGGCTGTGGCCCTGAGGATGGAGAAAGGGGCTCAGGAGCCAGGAGCTGGAGGCCTGCAGCCCCAGAAGCTGGGAGCACAGGGGGAAAGGCCAGTAGAGGCTCCCCCTGGGGACTGGGAAGGAGTGCAGCTGAGCCAACTGCTGGATCTCTGCCCAACAAAACTGATTTTGGACTTTTGACCTGCAGAATTATGAGAGAATGGAAGTACAACGTCCTAACCCTGATCTGCTACAGCAGCCACAGGAAGTGGACAGAGGTTCTCGCTGCATGGATCCAGGCAAGCAGAGCTGTGTGTAAGGCTATGCCTGGTCTTCCCGGCCTTCCCGGCTGTCCTGCCTTGGGACATCAGTCATTCTGCCCCTGTCTTGTTTCCATCAGAAGGTTTGAGAGCTGCCATGGGGAGAGAACTCCTGAGTCCTGGGAATCTCTAGTACATTGCCCTATCCACCAGGAGGATAGGGCCCAGAGATGGACCTGTTTCTCCTTATGATTACTTTTTTCTATTTAAGACAGAATAGCCATCCCTCTCCCTGAGATTCATGTTGTCAAAGATGTGGTGCTTGTCCAGTTAATTCCACTCTTAGCCCTCAGACTCTCGATGTCTGTGCCCATCAGACTCCCATTGGCTGGTTCCCTCTGGGGTCTGTCTGGTGCCTGTGAGGGTCCCGATTGGAATGGGACCTACAGGATGCTCTCAGATGCAGGAGGACTCTGCTGGGTTGAGTCTGGGCTTCACCGCCAGCCATGTGGCCTTGACAAAACAAACTCTGAGCTTTAGTTCCATTTGCCACAAAATAAGGAGAGAAGTCTTGTCTTTTGGAATGTCATAGTGACTCAGGGGATGAAGATAGCACAGGACAGAGACAGGTGAGCCCCCTTCTTAACTTGCTTTCTGCACAGGGTGTGGCAACGACAGTAGTATAGTCTTACTGTTGTGGCAGCTGGGGAGGAAGAAAATAGAGGGATACCCTGGGATTCCTCAGAAAGCCATGAGCAGAATGGAAGAAGGTCATCCTGAGGGCCAGTACAGGGCACACCCAGGCCTGGGGAGGGGAGGCCATGACAGCAGAGCCTGGGGTCAGAGCCACGTAGAAAGGGGCCTTCCTCATTCTTTCTTGCTTCCTGCTCCCCACCCCTGTTCCCTGCCTGCTGGGAGAGAGGCCCAGCTCATACTCTGGGGTGTCTGTGCTTTTAAAGGACCTTCACGAACATGAAAACATCTTGCTTGTTCTCACAGAGCCTAGAGAGGAAGGAGCCCAGGGAGAGGGACTCTCACCCTGGGAGGCCCAGATCAGGGACTAGGCCCTCACTCCAGGCCATGGTGCAGGCAGTATCCAGCAAAGCAGATGAAGAGACTGAGCCTTCCTGGGTCAGGGTCCTAGGGACAAGTCCTGGGCAGCCTGTGGCCTGAGACGAAAAGCAGCCTTGGTACCTCAGGCTGCCTGAGGGGAGCGACTGCCATGAGCACCTGGCTCAGAGGTCAGAGCTGTCTGTCCAGGGTCTCAGCACCTCTGACAGGCTGGGATTCTGTAGAGGGAAACTTAGCAAGGCAAAGCGACAACCTGCAGAGCAAGTGGAGGCATGCTGGGGCCCAGCTGTGGGCCTTAAAGCCAGGGCCCTGCACCGCTGGATGAGCAGCACTGGCCCCTGGGCCACCATGGCCTCACTTCTGAAGGCCCCCTGTGCTTCCCACTGACCCCTCACTGAGGCCCACTCTAGCCCTGAGATGCCCCTCACAGACCGCAGCTCACAAATGCACATTCTTTCTCTCTCCAACAAGTTCTCTATAACTGACTGCTCTGCCCCTTTTCACTATTGTTCAAATCAGAAAGTGCTCTGGCAAAGAGCACAGTCTCCCAAGCCAGACGGTTTGGGAGCAAGTCCTGGCTCCACGCCCAATAGCTGTGTGACCTTAGACAAGTCCCTTCACCTTTCTGGGGCTCAAATCCCTCATCTGTTAAATTGGGCAGTGATCACACATTGTGGGATTGAGGGGGTAAAGCTGTAATCCATGCAATGTGCCTGGACACCAGGCTGCTTGCTGTTGTGTTCTGTGGACAGCCTCTGCCCACCACGCCACTCTGACCCTAAACCACTTCCGTTCTGCTACTCCTCTCACACACACCCAGCCCTGTAGCAGACCGCTATCTCTCCCTAGAAATTTCCTGTTGTCAAAGGGGAACTGAGGGCCACAGGAAATGCTACATCAGCTCCTGGGTGATTGCCATCCAGGGTGGGGAAAGGTGTGGGAGCCTGTGGTATGTCGATGCCAAGGTCATGGTTAGCCTCCTCATCTGCATTAGAGGAACCTTATCTGGGCAGACTCTGTACCCTATGTTACCTGTTGATAACAGCCCTAGACAGGGATATGATAACAGTGCCAACTCTAGGAGTCATTGACCACATGTGAGATGTGGAAGCTTGGGGATAGAAAGAGAAGGTTGGGAGCAGAGGAAGGGGGAGCTGATGGTGGGGTGATGGCTGGTTGGGGTGAGGAGGCTAGAAGAGCAGGAGGCAAAAGTGGGTGTGGGTCAATGTGGCTTGTAGTGTGGCCCATTCTGGATCTGTGCCACCCACAAGGGTTAACTTCTGAGCAAAGCCACTACCCAAGGTATAACTTCAAGATCTTTACCAAAAAATTTAGATTTCATTGTGAATTTCCTCAAAGGTCCCTTCAAAGGGATTTTTTTTTTTTTTTTGAGAAAGAGTCTCACTATGTTGCCCTCAGTAGAGTGCAACCCTTGACTAAGGGGGTTTTCTCCAAGGAGTGCAAGTTTCTTTTAACATCCAAAAATCATGGCTCGACATCCATAGCACAGTGGTTATGGCGCCAGCCACATACACCACAGGTGGCATGTTCGAACCCAGTCCAGGCCAGCTAAACAACGACAAATGCAACAACAGCAAAATAGCTGGGTGTTGTGGTGGGCACCTGTACCAGCTACTTGGGAGGCTGAGGCAAGAGAATTGCTTAAGCCCAAGAGGTTGCTGTGAGCTGTGACGCCACAGCACTCTACCAAGGGCTACATAGTGAGATTCTGTCTCAAAAAAAAAAAGAAATCCAAAAATCTATTAATGTAGTATACCATAGTACTATCAGAAAGGAAAAAAACCCGACTACCTGATCATCTCAATAAATGCAGAAAGAATATTGTACAATACCTCTTCATTATTAAAACACTAAACACATGGAAGGGATAAAAAGGAAATTTCATAGCTAGAAAATATTTGGAAATCAAATAATACACTTCCAAATGACACATGGGTCAAGAGGAATTAAAAATATTTATCTTTAATAATTTTAATATTAATGTTTAAATGGCACATTAGTCTCAAGAGGAATTAAAAATATTTTTAACTAAGCTGAGCAGGTGGGCACTTGTAGTCCCAGCCAGTGGGAGCCTGAGGCAGGAGGATCACTTGAGCCCTAAAGTTCCTCCCTAGTCTGGGCAACATGGCAACATGTTTTCTTTCAAAAATTAAAATTTAAAAATCCTTAGGGCCATGCCTGTGGCTTATTGGGTAGTGTGTCGGTCCCATATACCAAGGGTGGTAGGTTCAAACCTGGCCCCAGCCAGACTGCAACAGAAAAATAGCCGGGCATTGTGGCGGGCACCTGTAGTCCCAGCTACTCAGGAGGCTGAGGCAAGAGAATTGCTTAAGCCCAAGAGCTGGAGATTGCTGTGAGCTGTGACACCATAGCACTCTACTGAGGGTGACAAAGTAAGACTCTGTCTCCAAAAAAAAAATAAAAAAAAACTTTAACTAAATGAAAATGAAAATATATCAAAATTTGGGACATTCCTCAAACCTCAAAAGCAATGCTTAGAGCAGTGTTTTTCAACCTTTTTTTTTTTTTTTGAGACAGAGCTTCAAGCTATCACTCTGGGTAGAGCAGCAACCTCCAACTCCTGTGCTTAAGCGATTCTCTTGCCTCAGCCTCCCAAGTAGCTGGGACTACAGGTGCCTGCCACAACACCTGGCTATTTTTTGGTTGTAGTTGTTATTGTTGTTTGCCAGGCCCAGGCTGGATTTGAACCCGCCAGCTTTAGTGTATATGGCTAGCGCCTTAGCCGCTTGAGCTACAGGTGCCACCAACAACCTTTTTTTATCTCATGGCACATTTGAACCTATAGTTAAGTTTCACTTAAATTATGTTGATCTGGGCGGTGCCTGTG